AGTTTGTTTACGGATATGCAACTTCCCGCGAAATTCGTTCTTACTGCTCTAAAACACAATTATATGAATATATATATATATATATATATATATTATTAAAGGTTTATCAAATTGTATTTTGTTAAAGAAGACTCAGTTTTAAAGATTAATTCTTTTTTGCACTCAACATTTTGTTAATTTTGTTTCATTAAAAAAAGTTACATAGTGTAGCTTTAAAATACCAGCATGTGTGCTGATGTGTTACCGATACTTTTGTTCCATAGTTTCAGATAGAGAATTTATTCTCAAAAACTGTTGCTCAATTGATTTGATAAAAATATGCCTTTATAAAGGTTTCTGACATTTTCATGTTTTATGTACAGCCATGGCCAAAAGTTTTGATATAAATTTTCACAAAGAGTGCTGCTACAGTGTTTTTAGATATTTTTGTCACATGTTACTATGGTATACTAAAGTATAATTACAAGAATTTAATGAGTGTCAAAGGCTTTTATTGACAATTACAATAAGTTTATGCGAAGACTCAGTATTTGCAGTGTTGACCCTTCTTTTTCAAGACCTCTGCAATTCGCCCTGGCATGCTGTCAATCAACTTCTGGGCCACATCCTGACTGATGGCAGCCCATTCTTGCATAATCAATGCTTGGAGTTTTCAATGTTTTGTTCCCCAAGCCACTTCGTTATCACTTTTGCCTTATGGCAAGGTGCTCCAGCATGCTGGAAAAGGCATTGTTCATCACCAAACTGTTCTTGGATGGTTGGGAGAAGTTGCTCTCGGAGGATGTTTTTGTAACATTCTTGATTCATGGCTGTGTTCTTGTGAGTGAGCCCACTCCCTTGGCTGGGATGCTTTACTGTTGGCATGACACAGGACTGATGGAAGCGCTCACCTTTTCTTCTCCGGACAAGCTTTATTCTAAATTATTGATTTAGGCGCAATCTTAGCAGCATTATCCTTGCCTGTGAATCCCTTTTTGTGCAAAGCAATGATAACTGCACGTTTCCTTGCAGGTAACCATAGTTAACAGAGGAAGAACAATGAGTTCGAGCACCACCCTCCTTTTAAAGCTTTCAGTCTGTTATTTGAACTCAATCAGCATGACAGAGTGATCTCTAGCCTTGTCCTCATCAACACTGAACACTCTCTCCTGTGTTAATGAAAGAATCACTGACATGATGTCAGCTGGTCCTTTTGTGGCAAGGCTGTAATACAGTGGAAATGTTTTTGGGATTAAGTTAATTTTCATGAGGAAGAGGGACTTTGCAATTAATTGCAATTCATCTGATCACTCTTCATAACATTCTGGAGTATATGCAAATTGCCATCATAAAAACTGAGGCAGCAGACTTTGTGAAAATTAAAATTTGTCTCATTCTCAAAACTTTTGGCCACGGCTGTACACAAAATAGCCCTTTGAAAGAACTGGATCTGTCTCTGGACAAACTGAAATGCTTCCGGGTCCTCTCTCAAGTCCCAGTGAGTACGTTTACATGGACAAAAATATTCCGATATTAACACGATTAAACCCTCTGGTGCTCCTCATTTGGGAGTCACACTTGTGATCTTCACGGTCAAAAGTGACTGGACACCTGAAATTTTACTTTTTTCCGCACCAGTAAAATCAATGTATTTATTGATTCAAAAATTATGAATTTCTGCCCATGGAAAATAATACAATTTAGAAAAAATATATTTTTTTGTATTACTGTTCAATAAATGCAGTATTTCATGTTAAAATAGTCAATACCTTTAAAATCCCATTTTTGAAGTCAGATTAGTGCCATCTGGTGGGAGTAAAATAAGAAAAATCTGCTATTCCATGGTTTAATCCATAGATTCCTATATAGCTCTATATAAAAGGCCTATACATTCTCTAATTGTTTTTAGACATAAATACTTATTTTTATTAAGTTGTGAGTTTGGATATATATTTAGACATTCTCAAAGACAACTTTTTGTAAAGGTTTGTTTTTTTTTGGTTTGAAATGTTGATTTGAAGCGTCAGTTTTTAAATTATTATTACTACAGTCAAACCGCAACACAGAGAAAGCATTCTGTTACACAAAACATTAAAATTCTATAAAAATGTAACAAAAATACTCGAAGTAAACACAAATCGAATGAAGACATGTAGAGTATTCCTGTTTTAGTCGCATTATTGAAGTGCAGTATAGGCCCTGTCCCAAATCGCACCTTAAACCCTCGCGGTCTTCCTCCGAGTCCGCACTTTCGTGACGTAATGCCGCTTTGACTGTCGGGTAGAAGTCTGCTGCGGAGCTTGCACCAGTGCGGGCTCGGCAGAAGTGCGTATCGAGGGGGCATAACGGCCACAAAGGGGGCGCTCGCGAGCACCCTTCTGAACACTAAAATGACGAATGGGACACCCTACGGTCTCGTGGACTTAACGGACACGTGCATGCAGCGGCCATTGTAAGTCCGTAAGACCGCAAGTGCACATGAAGTGTTCCATTTGGCACAGGGCCTATATAGACATGTACACACCTTAATCACACTATTACCGTCATACAGGACTTTTCGCCGCATTTTGCCACAGGATGGCAGTGGTTAATCGTGTGACGGGAAACAAAAGAGCATGGCTTCAAGCTAGAGCCCTGCACGGGCCTCAAATTTAGGCCCTAGCCCGGCCCAGGTCCGACAGCTCATCAGAATTCTTGGCCCGAGTCCGACCCGAGCCCGTCTTTCCCCCTTCTCCCAAAAAAGCTTATACTACTGTTTCAGCTATTAAAATAGTTCAGTTTTGTATGTAATGTCAAAGTGATTATATTTCGTTTCGTTTTTTTATTAAGTTAATTTAGAAAAACGTTTGGAGCATTTTTTTTGTTCGTTAAATGTAAGTTTTTGTTTTTTAAAGTAACAACCAATCGGCCAGCGGCAGACAGTGAGCTGATAGCCTATGTTTGATCAATTTAGCCTTCTCAAATCATCAGGACTTGCCTAAAATAAAATCTAAAGATATAAAACAGTTCAAGCATATCACAATGTTAGTTTAAATGTTTAACCTATATAAATGTGTGCTATTAGACTCATATCTAATCGTTTGTGCAGAGAGCTAAAGCGCGCTTTACAGGACATGGAGGTGCCGGCACGATCACTTGCATTGGAAACAACTTAAAATATGCCATCATTTTTGCTCATAAAGGTAAGAGTAATATATCACTCAGAACTGTAAAGGGTCTACTTTTATTTGTGTGCACATACAATATCAACAAAGCGTTGTGCTTTTATAAAATAAAGGATACATACAGGATGTGCTTTCTGCAATTTCGGCCAGGAGCGCTTCACAATGATGAACTTTAATGATGCTCTTTTATTTGTGTGCACTCACAATATCAACAAAATGTTGTGCTTTTGTAAAATAAAGGATACATACAGGATGTGCTTTCTACAATTTCGGCCAGGAGCGCTTCACAATGATGAACTGAAACTCAGCGAATACTTGCCTCACAGACTTGCTAAATATATCAATAGAAAGCTTTAAATTACTACTTTAAAACTAAATAAAACAAATGGAAAACAAAAACTCTTTCATTATAAAATCCGTAAAGATGCACTTCTCTCTGAGGAGATGGCGAGTCAGGATCGTCATCTTCATCTTTGCGACACAGACTCAGAAAACACAAATTTATTAATAAATAATTCAAATATCTCCTTACTAATCCCCCCCGACACATTCAAGGTAATTACTTTTGCTGGGGCTTTGCGGCACGCTTTAGCCTATTGCGTGCGTTTTTTGCTGTCATGTGCAAGGATATGTTTGCAGATTCTGTACTGCACATGACCAATTGACTCACTGTTTGCCGTGGTAATCAAATCAAAACTCTTCCAAAATGCAGCTTTTCCCGAAGCATTGGGAACTTTTAGTAACTCCCCACGCTCCAACTTCTCCGATGCTCTGCATGGTCAACTGTCACCTGTATGCTATGCATGCGTATATGCGTTGCTTATTGCGGCAATGTATAATATTTATAATACAATCAGTAAAACAATATTTCATACAGCCTATGTGTGCTCTGCCCGTATATGGGCATAATAAAAGGAGGGAAAAAAAATGGCCCGAGCCCGGCCCGAATAGACTCAGCGTGTCGGGCCCTGACGGGCTTGCAGACCTCTACTTCAAGCAAGAAGGCTCATTTTTATCCGTCGTCGTCTGTTTGAACGTATAGCATGACATATAATTAACTGCACTTGAAGCTTTCGTAAAATTAAAAATGAAACAAACTGTATGTTGATACATGAAATTCTGGAGGGAACGTCGGATGGCGTGGCGTGGGAACGTAATCACGTGTGCCATTAATCTATGTACTGTAAAAACGGGAACATGAAAGGAATATTCTAAAAGCAGCGCAATGTAAACCTTATTCTGAATAAGACAGTATTATGATTAAGGTAAATAATTAATTACTGATGTGATGTCCATGTAAACGTACTCTGTGATATTTTGGATTTTATATACTGTATATCTCAGGTCTTTCCTTTAAAGTCTGTGTGAGCCGAAGTTGGAATGGAATATTAAACAGAGGGTGGGGTTTTATTTTAGTGTACCTCCTCTCTCACTCGTAGCAAACTACCATTCGAGTGGTTAAAAATATTCTGCCCATGCTATCAAACGGCATCACACTGACAAAATCAGAGAATGAACTCCATTCCAGAGTTGAAGTACATTTTCAGATTTTGATTAAAGAATACAAAGACAATTTTCATTAAGTTAAATTGAACTGATTAGTTTTACCACAAGACTAGCAATGCACGCAAACAGTGCATCACATCAATTTTGATTTCAAAAGTCACTCTTTGAGATTTTTTTTCAACCATTTTATCATTCTCCAGGCAAATAACCACTAATCCTAAACATAAGCAATAATACTACTGCTTGCTCTACATGCTGCTAACAGATTTGGCTTATGGGTATTGAGTGTGTTTATTATTTTTTTTCTGATGGGTAGTATTGACAAACTTTAGGACATGATTAGTTCACATTTTTTAATAACATGGCACAATTTACATAACACAAGTTTAACTGAGGAGCATGCTGTCGCCTCACCCTTTTTTGTACATGATCTAGAAAGGACTTAATTTTTTACGTACATGATAAACAGCAAAAAAGTTTCTTACAATCTCTTTGCAATACGTATTGACTACCCACTACTGCTTCAGTGGACATTTTAATGTTTGATTTAAAAAAAGAAAAAGAAAAAAGAAAATTTAATGAAAAAAAAAACACTGCACATCATCTGAATTTCACAGAGTTTAAAAGCGCACAACTATCCCTCCCATGGACTACTAAAATAGATCTCTGCTCAATAAAAACAAACTGTCCATAGCTTACATCTTACGTTACCATTGTGTAGATACATAACACTTTAATACACAGTTAGACCAACAGAGAATTGACCTGCTTTCTGTACTCAAACTTCTCGTGACATGATGGGATGTGTTGTAATTTTGCAGGCTTTTTCAAATTGCCAGACTTTTCATTTAGAGGTAATTAATTCAGAGAATTTAGGTTTTGTTGGTTCTTGGAACATTGGTGTATTTGTAAGGATTGTCAACACAGATCTTTATAGCTTGAATAACAAAAGCATGTTTCTGGATCAAAAGTTAGGGAACATGTTTGTCAGATGTGCGAGTAAAACTCATTGCAGAAAATCCCATTTAGGAACAATCATAATCTGAGTAATGTGTAAGCATGTACTGTTGCTCCAACAGGAGAATGAGAGGGTTCAGTAGAGAGACTGGTTGTCCTCTAGAGGAGAGAAAAAGTGATACAGAGAGAGCACCCACGCATGAGTTGCATAGTTGAAAGAAGGGATGTGATCTCTTGGACAATATGGTCTTTCCAAACCATTAATATGCAGCATTAAACTAAAACCAGAGACCGTGCACTCGCTATCCATTTGATCACTGCCCACTATGTACAGCATTTCAAAGTAAAGCTTTCATAACACCCATTTGCATAATTGTACCTTAATTTTTTTTCCCTCAAGGAGAGAAATACACCGACTTTACACATATCTACAAGTTCTGCCTTTTTGCAATGTATTGAGGTACCTGTACATTCCAAGACCATTTTTTCCATGTTGGAGATCTAGCGCTTGTACACTTGCTCGAGATCAGTGTACTGTACATGTTTAAGAATACACAGCAACGAACAGGATAAAAGAGCATGAAAAATCTCAGTCTTTTGTACAAAAGCAAAATGCAAAAAAAAAAAACAACAATCCGTAATGCACAATCTATACACAGATATGATACAGCCTCAAGTGCTTGCTTTTGAGTTCCATTTCAGTCCATCAGGGGTCTCACCGTGCCTCGATGTCTTTGTGTGTGTGTGAAGGGGGTCTGTCTCTAATGTCAGTGCCGAGTGGGGTAGTCCGTCTGGGAGATGTGGAACGCGCTCCCAGGGTTGGGATAAGAGGGGGTGGGGCACTGAGTGATGCGGTGGGAGGGGTTTTGTTGAGGATTCCATTCTGGGCAGCTACGGCAGAGGAGGGGCTAACACGGGGGTAGTGCATGCTGGGAAGTCCAGGGGCCATGAGACCCGGGTGAGGGAGGTGTCCGTCTAAAGCGTGGTGATGCATCAGGTGCAGACGCCCCTGCTCGTAGTCTTCTCGGAGCAAGTGCAGACGTTCCCGCTCCTCTATGTGCGCCCGCTCTTGTTCCCGCCGCTGTTCCAAGGTCAGTCCGTGAGGGAGGTCTCGGTTAAAGTCATGAGGCTCACGGTCCCGATACGAGCGCTCTGCTTCATAAAGGCGCGGCGCTGCTAACCGGTGCAGGGGTTCATTCCGCAGTAGCAGATCTCGAGCTAACGGATCCCTCCGGTGGATATCGAGTCCCCGGTAAGGGTCCCTCATGGGATCCCAATGAAAGGCGGGATAGGGGAACCTCTCTGCCCCTGGGATGGGGCTGATACCCATGAAGGGGGCCACCATACGAGTCCTCTCCAGACTACTGATACTGTTTATGGGATGCATACTGGGCATGCCCATGGGTACAGGCATTGAAGATGGAGGGTGGAGAGCAGCAGGAGGAGGTGCTTGTGGTGTGGATCTCTGCTCCGGGGATCTCCCTGTGGGACCATCCTGCTCCTCTTTTCTCTCTTCTTTCACCTTCACCTCACTGTTTTTCTTCTCATAGGTGATATCGCCCTTCTTCTCCAGAACATCTCGAGTCAGCCCGCTGTTCACCCGATCTATGGTGCCTGCACTGACAAATGATATCTGGTGACTGCTATGTAAATATAATCCACACCGCTCTTTATCATCCTTGTTGACTGATGAATCCCTCTTGTCCAGGTCTCGTTCTCTCTCTCTGTCCCTTTCTCGTTCTCTCTCTCTGTCCCTTTCTCGTTCTCGTTCTCTCTCGTGGGAGCTGACCGACGCGCTGCGTTCAGGGTCTCCAGGTTTGAGCCAGGGAGGTGGGGTGGGGAAGGACGGCGGAGTCCGGTGGAGTCTGTTCCATGGCTCGTGGGGTCCGCTGAAGTGCTGTTGTGCGCTGGGTGCATCTTTGTGGCCAAATACAGAGTTGGATGCTGGGAGACGTAAAAAAAAACACATGGTGAGATTTTATTTATCTTGATCTTTTCTATTTCATGCATGAGTAGGCCTACTCTTTGATGTCAGAATATTAAATATGTGTTGTAATGACTTTTCACCTACAATTAGTCTGATAACTGAAATATATAAATGTACTGCATTTCTAAATGATAAAATGTTGACTGAAGGTGAATTTTCTAATACAAAACAGTTGATTGATTGGCACTCACCGAGTGCTGGGTTTCCCAGTCCACCAAAGGCTGCAGTGCTTAATGAGGTTAGACCTCCAAATGAAGACGGTCTGTTGAAGGGCTCTGTCAGTCAAAACAGGAACAAAAAAATCAGTCAATGAAATGATTGTGTGAATCACCAATGAATTACAGCTTTGAATTTAACCAGATTTAAAATACCCCACCCCCCACTGAATCCTAAATTTAAAAATGAATGTATTTTAGCAATATATATATACCCAATAGGGATGCCACAATTCTCAATATAATATTGAACCGTTTATTTCCATGCATTTTATTTCTTTTTTGTTTTGATTTGGCCAATCCCTGACTTGCACAAACTGCATTGTGATTAGGAATGGGTACCGAAACCCGGTATTTAATCGGTCCCGGGACTAAATTATGAAAGACCGGAGTATCGATAAGCTCTGACGTTAACGGTTCTGCTATCGGTACTGGAGAAATTAAGAAAACACACATACATTTATTATTGCTATATATACATTATCTTGCAAATTCTATCTCACCAGAGTCGTCAGCTGTTTTTCAAACATTTGTCTATGATGCATTTATTGCGCCCACGCGGAGGAGCTTCAGCACGCGCAACATGAAAGCCCTGTTTAATTATGATAGAAGAGAGAACTAAACATTCAAACATCTGCTTACACTTTATGCCTGTGGCGGTTTTATTAAGCTAATTTTATTTTTTTTATTTCGATTTTGGCTTCTAAGGATTATACAAAAGAAGAC